TGCACATAAAATGTTTCACAATTTTGGTGTAACATGCTGCGCGCGCACCCTGCGCACCCTGAATTTCCAACACTGATGACGATCACAAAAAAAAATATAAATAATAAAATAAATGAGGGCAAAAATGTATTCTTAGCAAGAGGTGTTCTTTACAGAATTACCTATTAAAGGACAATACATTACATGCTGTCACTGTAGAAAGGTTTCCTAATTTCGGTAATCATAATTAAACGAAGACTTATGTGAATTCGCAATTCACATGTGAAATTCAAATTGGCCAATCAGAATTTCACCCCACTCCATAATATTTCAATTTCACATACAACAAATAAAATTGCTTTGCTTAAAAAAAAAAATTCGGATTTTGAAGTAAAAAAAATTTTTTTTGTGTAATTTGTGATGCAAATTTGGGGACTTCAACCAGTCGAGAACCTTTTAAATGATAAATAAAACTTATTATTATGATGGAATCATTCGGGACACAAACAAAATCCACAAATTCAAAATTTGATAATTATATATACTATTTTAATATAATTTCATTTTCACGTACAACATATCTAAAAATCATATTATTTTTGTTTGCGGAATATTTTTGTCATGTTATTACAGTATTATTATTACTATTACTATTACTATGGGGGGTTATCAGTAAATAAAAAGGAACGTTATTGAGTTTTGTAAAAGAGCCGTATCTATTTATTTATAGTTACCCGGTACCATTAAGTGTGCTTACAGATTTGCCAAAGCTTTCTGGATACAAGAAAGAGGCAGTAATAGAGAGCCAAAGTAAATTCGTAAACTAATTAACCGAGAAGAACCGAATTAACTGACAAGAAAATAAACCAAATTCAGGTCTTGCTTTCAATTTTTTTCGAAATCTATCATTTGATAGTATTTTAGATTATTTTAACCTTATTAATTAAAAATGTAAGCATTTATTTAACGAATTTTTATAGAATATTTCTCTTTTTAAAAAAATTATAAATTCTAACTTGTATAACTCATATAAACAACATACACCTTTTCATAAATTTATACATCAGATTTGCCAAATAAAAATCGAAATTGAAAATCAAAACGAAACGACAACGACATCGACAATGACAACGACGTCGACATCGACAACGACATCGACAACGTCAACGACATCGAAAACAAAAACGAAAACGTAAAATATTTATTATACAAATATGAATAATTAAAAATAAATGAACCGAATATCAAGTAGAACGAATTCCAGGAAAATCCAGTAGTCTGCTCGTGTAAATTGCTAAAGGATGAATAGTTGGTTGGGAGAAAGGGGGGTTTTCGAGTTCCAAGAATTTTTTATCCTCGGCATCATCAAATTGACGACTAGTTTCATTGGGACTTAGATTATCACAAATATACACTACCCATCTTCCAGTAATTTCAAATAATTCCTTTGCGGTCGGTCTTCTTTTAGTGTCGTTTTCCCAACATCTTCTCATAAGGTCAATAAAAACTTTTGGAAAATTGTTTTCACATATTTTTGGCCTTTTCCCATCTACGATTATTTCATTTGCAAGTTTTTCGTCGTGAGCAATGTCTGAAAATGGACGGATTCCAGATCCTAGCGACCACATAATCATCCCAAAGCTATAAATATCCGACGCGCTCGTATAATGTTCACCAAGTAAAACTTCAGGTGCTACGTATGGCAATACTCCATAGATCTTCTTTCTATCCGATGATTCAACAATAGTATTATTTGCCCAAGTATTTAAACCAACATCAGTAATCGCAACATCAAGGAGATCACCTCTATTATCGATCAATATATTTCCACAATGAAAATTTCCGTGACATAATTTTTCTCGATGTATGCATTTCAATCCACCAGCGATCAACCAAATGATTTCAACTATATCTCGCCAACACAATAGTCCTTCTGATTTGTCAAGGAATTTATAGATATTTCCGTCTTCATAGTACTTTAATACCAAACAATAATTAGATGTATCGTCACACGTTATACCAAAAAAATCTACAATGTAATTGTTTTTTGTACATCGGTGGAACTCATACAACTATAAATAAAAGTTGAAGGGTGAATTTAAAACTCTGAAAATTTCAAAAAAAAAAAAAATAATAATAAATTTTTTTTTACTTTGTTTACGAATTCTTGACTGAGCTCTTGCGAATTATCAATTTTTTTGATAGCAACTTTAGTTGGGCCATGTCTATTATAGTACTCTAAATCACGATCCCACATAGACAAAGGACCACTCAACCAGTACGCAGAATGGATTTCACCAAAGCAACCTTTATCACGGTATTCAATAAGTTCAATGTCATCCCATTCGATCCACTCCAAAAGATCATGATGAGTCGAGTTTACCTGTGTATATCTAATAAGTTTGTCAATCTTCAAATTACCACTTGACCACCTATCAAAATTTTCAATGTGATAATTATGTTGGCAATTAATACAAAAATTTAGGTTAGTCCTAGGTTTATTACATTGAGGGCAATTACCATAAAAACTACCTCTGCTTCTAATCTTCTTCATTTTTAAAAAATCAATCTTGGAAAACCTCCTTAATTTATTGGGATATAAATTTACCTTTCTAGGAGATAAGTTGTAAAGGCTAAAACATAATTTGCCTGTTTGAGTGATAAATTAGTTGCAAAGGACAAAAACACAAATTTGCCCATTTAAGCGTAAATATTTATCAGCGTAAAGACTGAAATTTTGAAACGCGTTTGAAATTTCCAAATTTTTTTTTTTAGGCTCTTACTATTACAATTCTTTGAACAAATTTATCTCTTTGGCGATCACTAACAGATTAATTATTGCACATATTACACACATTACTTATCCCAAAATAGTAATTTCCGGCTCTTGATTTTGTTAATTAGTACAGTGCGGATCATCTATACTCAAAAGTTAAAATTTTTGAAATATTATGTGATCCACACATTGGATTTTTAAAAA